CCATATGCGGACGGATAAGTATGGATAAGTCCCTATACCCTTTGATATGTCCGCAGAAATAGCGGAAAAATTAGGTAAAATTAGGGAAACTGTGACAGTACCCCCGCCTCTAGCTTCGAGCTCCGTTTGAGAAGTTTCGACCATTTGACCAGTGAAGTGCCTTTATGCTTTGGTAATCTCGAGATCACAATCGGCTATACGCTCAATAATGAGCTGAGCAATGGGGTCGCCTTTGGCGATCTTCAGCTCGGATGGTCCAGTGTTGGTAACAACAACCTTGACTTCGGCTGGGTCACCCCGCTCGATAATGCCTTCGATTGCTCGGATTCCTTTGGCTAACGGATTCCCTACTGGGGTAATTCTCCCATAGGTGCCAACTGGTAGTTGTATCCGGATTCCTGTTGGAATCTGCAGTGTTGCGTTACTGGCGACTTCCTGGTTTTGACTTGCATATAGTTCAAAGCCTGCTGCTGTATCGGTCTTTCTCTTGGGTTCCTGACCTCCTCGTAGCTCAACTCGAAGTGTTGCATCCCTTTTCAGGAGAGCAAACACCTTGTCATCATTATCATCGAGTGCCCTGATTGCATGCGGGTGCGCATCGTGATATTCTTTGATGAGTTCCTTCGAGCCTTTGAGGTTCGCTACTGGTTCCCATGTATCCTCGTCGGGAGTGGTATTCTTCCATCGTACGAGGTACTGAAGCTTGCGGTAGTGCCGGCGAGAGGATAGGATCTTCTCCACTTCCCATTCTTCATGACCATCAATGATAACCGGCTTTGCAGCTGGTCCTTTCTGGCCTGGGATTTCCGCCTCATGGTAGGGTATAAGCTTACTGGCATGGAAGACCGGATGTAATTTGGTCAACCTCGGTGGCCATTTCAGTCTGAAGGTGATTGGAGAGAGTTTTTCAACAATCTCAAAAGGCCCCGAATACCGTGCATTGAGTTTTCGACCAGTAGTTTGGTAGTCTCTGAGGTCAAGTAAGACCTTGTCGCCCACCTTGAAGGGGACTTTCTGGACTCCTTGGTCGTAATACCACTTCATACGCTCGGCTGCCAGTTTGAGAGCGGCTTTCGCCTGCTCCTGCGCTTGTTGTCGGTTCCAAACAATGTCATTAAGGTCGCTTCTTTGCACCTTCTTCGTAAGTGTTGGACCTGCCCGTGGATGTCTGCCGTATTCCAAGAAGAATGGTGTCTCCTTGGTGCCTTCATGCGCTGCATTGTTGTAAGCAAACTCAGCAGAGCTAAGTAGCCTTGACCAGTCGTCGAGTTGATAGTCGATGTAGCAGCGAAGATATTGCTCCAGAACTTGGTTGACTCTTTCAGTCTGACCATCAGTCTGTGGGTGATACGTGGTGGACATGGTGGACTCTATCCCTAGTAGCTTACACCATTCCTGGAACAGTGTAGCTGCAAACTGAGCACCTCGGTCGGAAATAATCTGGGATGGTAAACCGTGAAGCGGATACACCCGATTGTATAGCAATTCTGCTAGATCCTTTGCCGAGAACTCGTTTGTTATTGGGTAGAAGTGAGCCCGCTTTGTCAATCGATCCACGACTACGCAAATGGCATCATAACCATCTGATTCTGGGAGCTGAGTGATGAGGTCGACGGTCATAACTTCCCATGGCCCTTCCGGGACACGGTTGGGTTGCAATGGTCCATATGGCTGCTGCGGACGGTTCTTCATCCGTTGACAAATGTCACAGCCAGTCACATACTTCTTGACAAATACCGACATGCTAGGCCACCAATAGTTGCGTGAGACGAGTTCATATGTCTTCCACCTTCCGGGATGTCCGGCTGAAGGGAGATCATGATGCATTTGAACTATACGCCTACGCAAGTGGTCCTGCTCGCTGTTGGGGATATATACTTTGCCGCGATAAAG